GGAGCTGGCGCGCGGCGGCGGCGACCCCTACAGCGATCTCAGCAAGGGCGTGCTGCGCTACCGGACCGTGGAGGACGTGCTCACGCCCCTCGAAGACTGCTTTATGTTGGACTCCGGCGCTGTCCTGGACTTCGGCGTCCTCGCCAGCATCATGCAGAGCGGCCACACGCGCATCCCGGTGTACGAGGAGGAGCGCTCCAACATCGTGGACATACTGTACCTCAAGGACTTGGCCTTCGTGGACCCCGAGGACTGCACGCCGCTCAGCACCATCACCCGTTTCTACAACCATCCCCTCCACTTTGTCTTCAACGACACCAAATTGGACGCTGTCCTGGAGGAGTTCAAGCGAGGTAAGGGGATGGTGGGAAGGGTCTCACTCCACTGGACAAGGCACTAAGACTTGACCTTTTCCAGAAAGTGGTGGCCTTGAGTCCAGGAACGACCTTTGGAAATATTTTAACGACCGTCTTTTAGAAATGGGAAGGGAAGTACTGTGTAAGTCTGATGCAGGAGGATCGGAAGGTGGTTCCAGGCCAATCTGGGTTGTGTAGTAAGACCCTGTTTTGTTTTTGTTTTTTTTAAAAAAAGTGAGGACGTAACTCAGTGCTTGCCTAACATACACGAATCCCTGAGTCACTAAGTAGGTGGTGGCCTACCTACTTAGAAAGATGGAAGCCAGACTGGGCTAAAGATTCTGCCTCAAAAGTAAATGAATGAACAAAAGCCTCCCGTGGTCCCTCTCACTCACTTGGCAGCAAGCTTGTCTACTTGGCTCTAACCCCAGAGGTTTCTTTCTCCTGGGCCATTTCTGTGCACTTGGGTTTCCAGGCTCACCCAGATTCTTGGATAGTAACTAAAAGGATGTCAGAAGGCTATGGTAACTGGAAATTGTTATCTTCGCCTATTTAATATTAAATTAGCTGGACCTGTGATGTTTCCTGGCTCTTCCAGGTTGAAGGACAAGGAAGGACTCATAAATAGTTCTCTGCGGGTACTGAGGAAACTTTCATTTAATGTCATTGAAAGCAACATTATGAATTTAATTACCCTTCCTTGCTTTTTTCCCTTAAAAGTTTTTTTTTCTCTGAGATTTTTATTTTTATGTGTATGAGTGTTTGTATGTATTATATCTGTGTACCGTTTGCATGCCAGAAGAGGGGACCGGGTTCCCTGGAACTGGAGTTACAGACAATTGTTAGCTGTCCTGTAGGTGCTGGGAACTGAACCCTGGGTCCTCCAATGCTCTTAACAGCTGAGCCATCTCTTTAGCTTACTCCCTTTCATTTTATTGTTTTTCATCACCAGTCATTAAGCCCAGGGTCTCATGCATGCCAGGCAGGTGCTCTTACCCCTAAGCCACACTCCTCCCATTTCCATTGCCAGTCTCCCCTTTCTCTGCCTAAAGCTTCTGGGGTTCTCCCTTAACTCCTTTCACTGCTTTGTTTAAGCAGCTTTTAAGGTTTACTTATTTTATGGTTCTGAGTGTTTTGTTTGCATATATGTATGCTCACTTAGTGCATGTCTGGTACCTGAGAAGGTTGGAGGGGGGCGGGGGTGAGGGAATCGAAAGGATGTGGCTTCCAGTATAGCTCTCTATCCTCATCCTTAGGGTGCTTTCTAGAGCCTGAGTGTTTCTTGCCTACCTGATACCTCTTTGGAGGTAGGGTAGATGCACACCAGGGCTCTAGGTGGTCTGGGCTGCGTGATTAGAAGTAGGTGGAGCACAACCCCCTTGAACTGGGCAGCTGGCAAAACTTCTGGCCCCAGGTCCACTCAGTGAGCCTCTGGACAGTCAATACAGGAGGCAGTTCTCGGTAATGAACACACTCCTGTGTCGAGTGCAGTGTGTGCCAGGCTCTGACGGGCGCTCTGCATGCCCAGTCTCCCTTTGTCTTTGTCTACCTGTGTGTAGACTGTGAATGGGTGAGTGGGAGGCTGGTCTGTTGGAGGACCTCTCAGGTGTGTCTTGGCTTTTTCCTAGAACTTGGTCCTGCAGCCTCTTTCTAGGGAGTGGATAGGGTCCGTCTGGGCTGCTGTCACCCTTAAAGCAAGACACTTCTCATGGCTTGGGAGCCAGCCAGCAGGGTTCTGTATCTGCCTGCTTTGGGTTGCTCTGTCGTCGGAAGACTGAGTCTCTCTTGCTCTGTTAGTTTATCACGGCCGGGAGACTTAGGTCTGGCGTGCTCGTTAGTCTAGTGACTGTCATTCCTGAGCTAGTGTCAACTCCAGGTGAATTAGCCATTAGGGTGAACCGGAAAGCACAAGTCCCATTTCTCCCAGAATCCAAGCCCACCGTAGTCCTGATGTTCCAGACTCTCTGGTTACTAAGGCCTTTAAGCTGTTCACTCACATCAAGGACAGTGGCATATGCTCTTTGCCAGAGCCAGATGTCCCAGCTGAGGACAGAGGCAGGAGGATTGTGAATTTGAAGCCATGTGGGATGGGGCAAGGGAGGCGTGGTAGTGTCCCATCCTCCGACCTGTGCTTTGTCTGTTGATATGCTGTCGGTGTCACAGATTGGGGACAGTGGAGTTCTAAAGGCCGTCCCTGTCTGGATAAAAGGAACTTAAGCTTTAGGAATTGGTAACGGTGTTAAGGGTTAGGTTGATGAGAGCTGTTTTTCCTTTAGTTAAAATGTTTACAGACCTTTAGTTAAAATGTTCACAGAGACGATGCTGGCGAGATGGCTCAGCAGTTGAGAGCATTGACTACCCTTTCAGAGGACCCGGGTTCACTTTCCCACATGACAGCTCACAACTGTCTGTAACGCCAGTTCTGAGGGATCTGCACCCTCACACAGTCATATACATGCATGTAAAACACCAATGCACGTAATATTAAAAAAAATAAATTATTTAAAAAATGTTCACAGAGGGCAGGATGAGCGGAGTACTTGTGTGTTGCATTATGGGCATGGGTTTGATCAACAGGGCTATGAGCCAGGAGCAGCACTGTCTGGGTGGTTTTTTGTTTGGTTGGTTGGTTGGTTTTTTTGTTTGTTTGTTTTTTTGAGACAGGGGCTCACTGTGTAGCCTTGGCTGGCCTTGAACTCAGATCCGCTTACTTTTGCCACCCAAGAGCTCGGACTAAAGTGCTGGGTGTTTTCTACACCCAGATTGTAACCCAGAGTAGTTTTTACTGATCAGTGGCTGATGTGAACAGCAGTGGTGTGGGGAACCCAAGAAGTGTGCCACATTGGCTTGAGGAGGTGACCAGGGAGGCATTAGGAGGTAGAATAGAGGTCATTTGCTGCCTGACTAATACTGTGGAGCCAGAGCTAGTACTGGAGGAAGCCTGTGATAGTATTGGCTGGAGCCAGGAGCAGGTGTTTTCTTACATTGGAATTTGTGTCCCGAGGAGCAGATTCCTAGCAGGCAGCTGATATGAACTGCAAACAACAAATTGAAGAGGAGGTGAAGATTCAAATGTCAGCGTAGAAGTAATCTATCTCCTGGGCTACGGGAGTGGTACAGAGAGCCTAAGCCCTGGGGAACACAAAGCACACAGGAGCATGGGGCAGGAAAAGATCCCAGGAAAAGTCTGAACCCCAGAAGTCAGAGGAACCAGAAGCTTAGGATGTCCTGAGGGCTAAGAGAACAGACCACCTTTTAAGAGAGGTCAGCAATCAGAATGACTTTGACTTTTTTCCCTCACAGTGCTAGGGAAGGAACCCAGAGCCAGGTATTTGTTAGTTACTTTGCCACTGAGTTTTTGTCCTTGATCTGTGGATCTGGGACAGAGGAGTAATTGGGAGACTGAATGTGGATGGCCTTCACTCACCGTGCATGGCTGCAAAGTAGAACCCAGGGAGCAGTGACTGGCAGAGGACCAAAGGATGGAGAATATGTGGCTGGAGAGAAACCCTCTGCTCTTGGGTTTAGGATGGAAAAATAGACTTGTCAACTAGACATGTCAACAAGAAGGAAATGTCACACACAGGGAAGGCCACGGGTATGGTTGCTCCAGATTGGGGTTGGCCGCTGGAGGACTCAGCAGGCAGGTTTCAAGCATCCTGATGCTGAAGGATTTGGGGCTGAATGCCTCTCTGTTTAAATAGATTATTTCAGAAGCTTCCCAGTAACATGCCTTCTAGGATCAGGGTACAACCTAGAGATCAATGGGATCCTTTCTGTCCCCTGACTTTGGTCCTGTGGTGAATGGGGAGCTTCCTTGGCCTGCATTTTCTTCTGTGGGTCCTTTCTGTAAATCAGTTCTCTCCCCTCTCACAAGCATCTGAGACTGTGGTGGCCTCTGATCTTCCTGGAGCTTGAGTCTGTGGTACCTTGTCTAACACCCTGTGGGAGTGTTGGTCCATGTGCTTATTTCAAGCAGCATTAGGTTAGGACTTTTGTAAACGGGGGGAAGAGGTGCCCCTTGCAGGGATTGTTTTATGCACAAGTTGCCTGACAGAGAGAATACTTTGGAGTAAAGCAAGCAGTCAACCCATTGCCTTCTTCCCTGTCAACCCCATGAGATTTTTGAAACAGGAAGGATTAGGGATGAGCTCTTCATTTGGCCTCTGCCCTCACAAACTTGAGATCCTGTCAAGCCAAGGATTGTCGTGGTACTGAGATGAGTCAGCTTTGCCCAGTTGCTGGGAGGAATGTTGCCACATGATTTTTCTCAATGTGCATGCATACATGATTGCTTTAGAAGATATCAAAGGGGGCTTGAGGCATAGGTCAGTGATGGCTGTAGTGAGAAAGACCCTGGTTTCTATCCCCAGCAACACACACACATACACACAGTGTTCCGGCGTCCAAATAATTACACTGCTTTTGAGCCTGCTTACTAAAATGAAAATTCTAGAGCCTTCCAGTTTGTGGCTTATTCATCAGGTTATGTCAGTCATACCTGCCATGGTTCTGTGGAGCTGGTCTAGCCAGACTGTACCCTAGGGAATATCCAATCCTATCCAGTGGGGACAGAATGTTAATTCTTCCAGCCCCCCTTTCTTTCCTCCTGCTGTTTCCTTGTAAAAGGCCTTCTGTCCCTCCAAGCTCTCTATTTTATGTATTCATATGGCCAGGGACTCCTCCCATTTGTTATTGAACCATCCTGGTGCAACGGGTCGCAGAATTGTGAGTCTTTTTCAAAGAAGTTTGAGAGCAACAGAGAGGTTAATCCCTTCCAGTAAGTGGCATGTTGGAGAGAAGGACTCACTCTTGGAAGGAGGGAGCTGCTTTGAGCCTTCTCTGCTCTGAGTGGCCTTTTAGAACCCAGACTTTGGTTTTGAGAATCCAAAACTTGCATCTTGCACTCTTGACCTTCCTTGCCTGGCCTCACAAATTCATATTCCATGGCAGAGCAGCCCTTGTGGAAATGGCACCTGCCTGCTAGCTTGAGTTAGTTCCAGGACTATCACCAAGGATTGGAAGGAATTAGAAACCTGGCACTTTGACCCAGTACCTCTGACTCAACAGAATGACCAGTTATCAGGGGCATGTGGCCTTTTCCTCCTGGGAGGCTTTCATCTTTTCCTGGGGGCGTTGAAGCCTCCTGAAGAAAGATGCATTATTTGGTTTATATTTCATGATTCATGTGAAGGCTGAGTTTTCTCCAAAAGATCCTGGGAGCAAATAGCCCCCATGTGGGTCTGGACCTGTTTTTTCACCAGTAATAGGAGTGTGTGTTCTCATTGCCTTGCCTCAGACCTGCTTGTCTCCATCCTATAACCCTCTAACCCACCTATGACTCTGGCGCCCTTGAGTGGACCCTTTTCTGGGTTGTTGTGTGCTCCAAGGGTTAGGCACATATATATCAGGTTTCAAAGGTGTGTTATAAAATATAAAAAGAGGTGTAAAGTGTGTGTGTATATATATGTGTGTGTATATGTGTGTGTGTATAGTGTTTTCATGTTGGTTACATGTTGACATGATATGATGTTTTATCTATATTGGATAACATACAGTGTTAAAATGTTACTATAAGATTTTAAATTAAGCTGGGCAGTGGTGGCGCATGCCTTTAATCCCAGCACTTGGGAGGTAGAGGCAGGTGGATCTCTGTGAGTTCGAGGCCAGCCTGGTCTACAAGAGCTAGTTCTAGAACAGGCTCCAAAGCTACAGAGAAACCCTGTCTCAAAAAAAAAGAAAGGATTTTAAATTACATATATAACTTGCACTCTGTCTTTCAAATACACATAAAGTTTTATGGATGGAAAACACTTTGTGACCCCAAGTAAATTTATGAAGTTTCCCCAACATTTGCCAGCCCTGTAAGAGTTGGGTTTTGTCAAGTGTGTCTGTCCTCATTAAATCAACCAATAGAAAAGTGAATGAGAAAGACACAGGAGCAAGGGGGCATGTTCCAGCTCTAGTTCTTCCTCTTGACATACTGCGGATTCTAAATGCCCGCACTTACCAGTCCCATCCTCTAGAAAACCCCTGAGGGGCAGCTCTCAGAATTAGGAAAACCTGCTGAGGATGCATGTCTACCCTCTTAGCACTAGAGAGGCAAGATGGCCACATCCCAGGCCAACCTAGATTGTATAGTGAGACCCTTCCTCAAGAAACAAAAGGGGGAAACTAAGTATAGTAGTGTACATTTGATCTCAGCACTCCTGAGACTGAGGCAGGAGCATTGTAATTGCCTGGACATTGGCTGCAGTAATGAAGCACTGCATTAAAAATAAAGTCAGATAGCTGAGTAATAAAATAAAATCAGGCCAGGTGGTGGTGGCGCCCACCAGTAATCCCAGTACTCAGGAGACAGAGGCAGGCGGATCTCTGTGAGTTCCAGAACAGCTAGGGCTACACAGAGAAACCCTGTCTCAAAAAACCAAGGTGGGGGGTAAGAAGAGGGCTGAGAATACAGCTCAGGGCAGGGGCTAAAATGCTGTGTAGCAGGTATGCGGTCCTTGTGTGCTCACTAGTGTGCAGAGGAAAGGGTGTGGTGTGGCCAGTACAGGCATCTGTTTTTTGGTGTAAGAAAACCTGGAAGGTCCTGCAGTGTGCAAATGTGTGTCCCTTCCTACAGGGAAGTCCCACCTGGCCATCGTGCAGAAGGTGAACAATGAAGGGGAGGGTGACCCCTTCTACGAGGTGCTGGGCTTGGTCACGCTGGAGGATGTCATTGAGGAGATCATCAGGTCTGAGATCCTGGATGAGTCTGAAGACTACCGTGAGTTTGACCTTTGTTCTCTAACTTGGAGCCCTTCCAGCAGTCTGAAAGGCGTCTGTTTCAGGGGCCAAGTGGATCTTAATGCTGCTGAAAACTAGCTAGAGCTCTAACCAGACCTTATCTTCCCTACTGTGTATGGGCCATTGTTGCCCTCCGTATAAGCCAGGCAGACTGTCCCATTGTTGACTTTTGTGGCCCCTGTGTGAGCAGGGAGCTTTGTAACAGCCCTCCATCGCTGAAAGAAGTGTCTGCCCTTAACAGGCCAGTCCCTTTCTGCTGCTTTTGCTGGCCCATATTCTGTTGCTCATAGCTCCTTAATGCCTTTTTTGAACTGGGTGTGAAGCCCAGTAGTAGAGTATCTGTATAGCTTGAATGGGGCTGTGTATGGTCACCTGCACCATATAGGCTTTAAAAAAAATTCCACATCTTTAATCCTAGCAAGACGAAGTCGGGTAGCTCTCTGAGTTCCTGACGAACAGAGGATGTATAGTAGACCCTTTCTCCAAAAAAAGAAAAAAAATATTCTTTACAACCAGCTGTTGATCAGGTCTTCTGTAGCAGACAGTCATGGGACCTTTGATTGTGTCTTCCTCTTCAAAGGATGATGGCCAACTCTATTGGGCAGACACAGAGTCCATGCTTAATAGCTGGGGTCTCACAGGCCACGCCTGTGTCTTCAATTCCTGAACCGATGCAGGGTCACCAGGGTAGCTGTTGCCATTTGCTGTGGGTGATCTTCAAGCACTCACATCTGAAGGATCTCCACAGCATCAGTCTCTTCTGCAGGAGAGTCAGACCTCCTCTGGGCATGGCTAGAAGTGTGGCTGTTGCCTCCTCTGTCCTAGGCACTGGGATTATTGTGTCTTGGAGGGAGCAGTGCCAAGCATATTTCCTTGGGGCCCTGGTGATGTCTCCCCTGAAATCCCTGGGAGGAAGGAGCGAGTGACAGTGCCATTGGCTCTGTTTGTGTTCATACTCGGGTGCTGATTGCCACTCATGCCATCTTTTCTGCCTCTGCAGACACCAGGAAGAAGAGGACTGTTGCCCTGAGCACCCCTCTCAAGCGGAAGGAGGAATTCTCCTTATTCAAGGTGTCTGATGATGAATATAAAGTAAAAATCTCGCCTCAGCTGCTCCTGGCCACCCAGCGCTTCCTTTCCCGAGGTGAGGGTGAAGGATGGTCCTTGCCCCTGGTCTCACCACCCAGAGGGTCAAGAAACCACCCAGACCAGACACCAGCTTGGCTCCTAGTGAGCTGGAGGCTCTCGAAGAGCATCTGCTTCCTTCTGCAGAGCTAGTGGGTGTCTCTTGATAAGGTGTGTTCTGGGAACCTCATCTGGCCCATGTTGTATGCCTTGCTTGGCGCTCTTGTATGGATTACCGCAGCCCAGGGACCACTGGGAGAGCCCAGGAGGCAGCAGGAGGCAGGTGTGATGACAGGCCATTTGGACCCCAATGGACACTGTCCCTTTCTCCCACCGTGGGGCAGAGGTGGATGTGTTCAGCCCATTGCGAATCTCCGAGAAAGTCTTGCTGCATCTGCTGAAGCATCCCAGTGTCAATCAGGAGGTGAGGTTTGATGAGAACAACCGCCTGGCCGCACACCATTACTTGTACCAGCGCAGCCAGCCGGTGGACTACTTCATTCTCATCTTGCAGGTAACCATGGTTGTCCAAACCTGGAGACAGAGATTCAGACAGCCACCCTTAAACAATTGGGGCTGTGGTTTCTCCTGTACTCTCTTATGACGGGAGAGATAACCTGTCCACCTCTGTCTTCCTCCCAGGGCAAGGTCGAGGTAGAAATTGGGAAAGAGGGCCTGAAGTTCGAGAATGGGGCCTTCACATACTATGGAGTGTCTGCTCTGACAGCTCCGTCTTCAGGTAAGTCATGACCCCTCTGCAGCTGAGGGTTGTCATGGTTTGCAGACACTCTGGATGCTATAGCAGGTCTTCGTGCCCAGGACACTGGCTTCTCAAAAGCCTGTGTCTCTGCCCCACAAGGGGCTTCTTGTCTCTAGGCAGTATAGCGGGCATAGCAGCATCTCTCCCTTGTTTATATTGGTAGCCCACTTGGTCCCTGCAAACGTTCCAAGGTCGCTTCTTCATGGTCTTCCATGTTCCCACTCATCTCCTCTCAAAGGTGACTTAAGGGGTGGGCCCTAGAGGCTGTGCGGTTGTCCCATTGCCTTCCACTGTCTCTGATTATTCCTTCCACAGCTCACCAGTCCCCAGTGTCTTCACGCCAGCTCCTCCGCCATGACCTGCAGCCTGCACCAACTGAGAGCACTCGCTCCTCCACATACTGTCCTGACTACACCGTGAGGGCTCTTTCTGACCTGCAGCTCATTAAGGTGACTGCTTGGGCTACACACTGGTGCCACTTTAACTGACTTTGTGCCCCCAAGGGGGCTAGTTCAGCTGATCACTGTGAAGTCGGAGAGTGGACTCAGCACAAGATGACAGGCTCGCACCCCGAATGGTGGGGCCTCCCCTCTCCCTGGACTGTTGGGGTCTGGGCATGTCTGGAGACCTTGCACCTGATCTCTCCATTATAGATCTTAAAATCTTAAAATTTGGCTGTAAAACAAAACCATGTGGCTCAATGACTTTCTGCCCTTTGTTCGTTTTAAGGTCATGCCTGTCTAGTGCAGGTCAGAGGTGGGAGCTCTGCTGTGTAATTTCTCTGTTCTCTAGGTCACACGGCTGCAGTACCTTAATGCACTCCTGGCTTCCCGGGCGCAAAGCTTGCCTCCGTCCCCAGAGAATGCTGAGCTCCACGCCATACCAGGCAGCCAGACCAGGCTTCTTGGTGACAAGTCCGCTGAGACAGCAGGTAAGCCCCACATGGAACATCCTGCAGTGTTGGGGTCCAGGGGTCACGGGCAATCCTGCTGCTGCGCTGCTTGTGCTCCCTGCTCCCCTGTCCTGTGTCCTCCTGTTTCTCTGCCCATCCTTTCCCTTCTTGCTGTGTGGAGTAGCTTGAATTACACAATCAAGTGGCACTCAAAATAGAGCAGAACGCCTTTTCTCTCTGTGGCCTCTTAGAGATGACTTAATTAGTTCTTGATAAGTAGGGAAATGTTCAGTTTAGAAACTCTCAGGCCACTTAAGACTAGGGTCAGGTCACTTAGTGGCTTGTCCTCAGCCCTGGCTTGAAGGGACACTTTCTGTGCAGCTGGGCCAGCACATGTTGGTAGTGAAGTTCTGTAGAGTTTGAAGCAGAAAGGCTTGGGTCGGGGGCAGTTTGCTTTATGGGTAGGCACTGGGCTGCCTCACAGAGTCTATGGTTTGGGTGATGAAGGCCAAGGGTTTTCTGTTGTTTCTTGAGTTCATTGATCCTTGGATAAGGGTCAGGATTGCCAAACTGAACCTCGGAATTAGCTCCATTCTGCCACCCAAGGGACCCAAGTTCTTACCTGCTATTTACTCTGCAAGAACCATGTTTAGAGCTGACCCCGTCTTCACTGGTGAAGCTGCCCACATCCTGAGAGGTGGGAATTGCTGGGTTTTTCCACAGATGAGGAGTGGGGTTTGAGGGCCCGGGGCTAGACGGCCTCCTGGGGACTAAAATCACAAACATGATTTTACAGTAGAAATTGTTTTTTTAATCAAGAGGTGACACAAGGCACAAAAAGATAGAAACCCCTGACCCTGAGCCACAATGATGGTTCAGCTCCTGTGGGTTCTGGCTCTAGGTATTACGCCTCTTAGTCCTGGCTGTGGGCATGGGTCAACTTCCATTCTTAAGGAATGTCAATTTCAGAAAGGCATTTATTTCTCACTGTGTTCACACGGTGGTCAGTGTTCACCCTGGCATTTTGTGGAATACCCCACAACAGAAGTACACAGTCACATTAGTCTTACCAAGACTTGTTTCTAAAACATGAATGTTTTCTGGCTCCAACCACTAACTCAGACGGCATGGGCTATATTCAAGGTACAAACGTGAACTGGGAGGGTAGTTCTCTTTTAAGAGTGTCTTCCTGGCTGTAGAGATGGCTCAGCAGTTAAGAGCACTGGCTGCTCTTCCAGGGGTCCAGAGTTTAATTCCCAGCACCCATGTGGAGACTCACACCCGTAAATCACCCGTAATGAGATCTGGTGCCCTGTTCTGGCCTGCAGGCATACATGCAAGTAGAACACTATATACATAATAAATGAATGAATGAAATCTTTTTGAAGAAAAGAGTGTCTTCCACCAGGGATTTTTCTCTCCTTCCCCATCCTGTCTTCCCTCCCTTCGCTCCCTCCTCCTTGTTTCCTTTGCCTGCTTTTCTTTCCAAGTGCTGGGGGTTGAACGTAAAGCTTTGCACACCTAGGCCAGCATCCTACCATTTGAGCTGAAGCTCTAGTCTGTAGAGAATTTGTAATCCTCTTGGCTTTGCCCATTCTTTAGACAACCTTTCCTAAGAGTAATATACAGTGGCTTGAGGGCCATTTCTTCCTTAATGGTTTATCCACGCTGAGGTTTGCCTGACTCCGGGGCCTTCCTGTGTTTGAGCTACTGCACAGTGCTGTTTTCAGAGGGCACCACTTAAACTAGCTCAGGGAGACCCAGTCCCAGTGGGTCTGGGCACTAAATCCCTGGCAGAAAAGTGCTTTTGTTGAAATATTTGGAAGGTACAAGAATTTTAAATTGCCTACATCAGGGATTGGGCCAGGTGATGGCAGTACATACCTTTTATCCCAGCACTCAGGAGGCAGAGGCAGGTGGATCTCTGAGTTCAGGACAGCCAGGGCTACACAGAGAAACCCTGTCTTGTAGAAAATAAAAAGAAAACAAAAACAAACAAAAACCCCCACTTACATCAGGGATCAACAAACTATGGTGTGGGAAGCCTGATTTGGCCAGGTTTCAGAGTTTATGAATAAGGTTTTATTAGAGTCCACCCATTTGTTGGGGTTGTCTGGCTGCCTCAGAGTGGCAATGGTGACTTGCAAAATGTAAACTCTTGGCCCTTTTCTGAGTTTTCTGACCCTGGGACTCCTCGCCCTGGCAGCCCTGTGATTGGGACTTCCCTCTGTGGTCCCCAGCAACACCCGTGTAGCACAGAGCCCTCCCCAGCCTTCCGCGTGGTGCTGAGGAGCTGAGGCCCACTGCCACTCAATAGCATGTTTCCTCTTCTCTCTTCTCTCCGCTCTCTTCAGCCTTCCCAGTAGACCTTTCCCTCTTTGGCACATTTGGAAACTGCAGTTGATAAATGACTGTGGACTAGTGAGCATTTTTTGTTTTAAGAAAACACCAAGGTAAATATCTGTTTCCTTTTTCTTTGATTTACTTTCCCCATCCTTTAGCTGTTGGCAGGCACTACAGACAGCTTCCCCAGGCAGTGGTGCATTTCTTTTGATGGGGGGAGTTGGGAGGGATACTACATTTTATGTTTATGTATTTACACAACACACCTGTTAGTCCTAGAGCACAAGGCTTCCTTGTAGCACAGGGGCTCTTGATCATCCATGGAAGTTTCTTTTTGCCCAGCATAGCTGCCTGAGCCCCCAGGAGTCAGAAATAGCACCCCCTAGGTACCATGGCTCACACTTATAATCTCAGCACTCCAGAGGATGAGGCAGGAGAACTGCCTTGAGTTTGAGGTCACTCTCACTGCCTGGTGAATTCTAAGCCAGCCAGCAAGACTTTGTCTCAAAACAAAATAAGGACTGGCAGTATAGCTCTATGGGTAAAGATGCTTGCCACCAAGCCTGTTGACCCAAGTTCAGTCCCCAGGACCTATGTGTAGAAGGTAAGAACTGAATCTTACAGGTTGTCCTCTGACCTCCATACACATGCCATGACATGTGCATAGCCTTACTCTTTTAAACATACACACAAAATAGATGTAAGGAAAGCTATGAAAAATGAAAGAAATAAAGTTTAAAAGCCAGCTGTGGTAGTACAGTCTATAATTCTAGTTCTTGCGAAGTGGAAGTAGGAAGATCTGGCATTCAAGGTCAGCCTGGGCTGCATAAGACCCTGTCCCAACCCCTGCTGCCCCAAAGAAGTGGGGGAAGGGCAGACCCACAAACCAATGTCATAAAAAAATCAGTAGCCCATCTTTGTCCTTTATGATGACATCTGCCCATAGTAGGTTTTTCTCTTGAGGCCTACTGATCATGTTCCTGACTCTGCATTGAGGTTCCTAAGGTGTCCTGGGGCCCATCTAGCCAAGCCGTTTCTCTTTGTCCTAAAGTTTCAGTACTTTTGTTTTGCTAGAGCCTGCTCCCTTGACTAGTGTGAATACCGTTCTCTTTTTTCCCCCTCCTTAGGGTCCAGCAACAGCAGACCTGGCATCCCAGTGGAGGAGAGCCCTGGGCAGAACCCAGCAGTGTAACTGCTTGCCAGGCAGCCCTGAGCTGGAAATGGACAAGCGTGTGGGGAGCTGGGGAGAGTCAATCAGGAGCTTCATGCCAGCCTGCCTCCACCTATTCTGGCCACGTTTTAGATGGCCATTATAAGATGTGGGTCCTGGGCCTTCTGAGTGCCAGAGCCTTCAGCTGACCCTGCCTTCCCTTAGGAGATTGGATTGACAGATCAGTCCTTCAGAACCCTGTGTCTGGGGATGAAAGGAACAGCATCATCTCTGGTCCCCAGCTTCTCCCCTGATGCTGTAACAGCACAGTATCTATACCTCCCTGAGCCAGGTGCCATGTGGGTGTGCAGTTACTGCCTTTACGTGGCCTTGGCCTCTCTTTGTTTTTGATTGGCCAACCCTCTGTTGCTGGCATCACTTTGAACAAACCAAGAGCGCTGGCTTTAGACGGAGATTCAAATCTGTGGCCCTGTCGTGTACTTTTTGGCTTCCCTTACAATGCCATATTTTGATTCATACACTCCAGTTTTTTCCATGTGCCAAATCTAAAAGCACGGTTCCCCCAATAAATATGTGCCCTAGTTCTGCTCCCTCCTGTGGAGGTGGCTTCTCTGACTCCTTCTGAAGTCATGAGCAGGCTGACCCAGTTACACAGGAAGCCTGCCCAGCATGGCCTGGGGTCAGCTTGCATTTCTCCTCCACCTGTGCATAGTGCCACTAATGGTATTGTCAGTTTCTGTTTGAGGTCGTGGGTGGAAGGCTAAAAGTCAGTGTTGAGTGACCGTTTATTGTAACTGCCTTGTACTTCTGTCCTAAGCCCCTGGGAGATGTGAGCAGCAATCAGGGAGGACTGTTTGCAAACCTGGTACCTCCTTGTCACCTGCTGAGAAGTCAAGATTTTCTTGTATCTGAACTATTTCAGATTCTGGGCCCTTTTCTGTTTCCAGTGGTGGTGTTTTGGGGATGCAGGGGTGGGAAAACTGTTTTTCTCTTCTAGTTTACCTACATTTTCCTTCCACAGTTTCTGGGACCATAGGTTAGGGTGGGAAGGGAGGATTTCTGGAACTTTCCTCAAAAGAATGTGGGTCCTGGTAAGTGGGGAACAGTGATATGCTGAGAAAATATTCTCAAGGAATATGCTCTAAGAACAAACTCAGGTTGGAAGCAAATACTTTAAAAATCATCTCTCCCCAAAACAGAATTTTGCATTTTGGCTGCACCTCAGAATCACCTGGCCAATTAGAACCTTCAGTAGCTGGGCTCTGCTGGGCTTCTGAGGTAGTCACCTTGAACACCAGGGTTATGGGCTTGAAATAGTGTTAGATGCATAGAAGAGTTCCACATGCCCTATACTCAGCTTCCTCTACTATTAACGTATTAAATAACCTTGTTACATTTATCAAAATTAAAATGCTAACATTGGTGCCATACTATTTAACTGGAGGCTTGATTTGGATGTTGCTTTTTTTGTTTGTTTGTTTGTTTTTTTGGTAATATCCTTTTCTGTTGCAGGATTCCAAGTTAGGATGCCAAAATACACGTAGAGCTATTGTTTTCCTATTTACCTGACTCTGTATTTTATAGTAATTGCAGATTCATAGGGAGTTAGAAAGATACGGTTCATGCATCCTTTATCTGCTTTCCTCAGTGGTCCTATCTCACAAACTAGAATGTAGTCTCAAAGCCTGGAACGGTGCAGATGGTACCCAGCACCTGTGTAGACCCAAGTCTAACCCACTGTCCTGTCACTACCACTCAGAGCCAGCTGCCCCATCCCTAAGCCCTGGCAACCATTCTACTGTTCTCATCTCTGTTATTTTGTCATTTCAAGAGTGTTTCAGGGGCTGTGCAGTGTGTGGCCCTCAGCACAGTGCCCTGGGGATTGGCCCAGCTCATTGTGTCTGTAATTTGTTCCCTTTCTTGCCAAGTGGTGTTCCATGGTGTCCTGCCCCATCAAAGGACATCTGGGTTGTTTCCAGTGTTTGGCCTTCTTTAAATAAAGCTGCTATGAACATTCATGTACAGATTTTGGTGTGAAGATTGGTGTTGACTCTGGGGGAAGTGCCAGGAGTACAGTTGCCATGTTGTTTATCTTTTAAAGAGAAACTGTCAGGTCTTTGGCTATAGCTGTGTATAAGCTTCCAATTCCTAGATGAAGTATAGGAAGGATCCAGTTTCTCAGATCCTCCAAATGGTCATTGTTTTTACTTTAGCTATAAGATAAGTGATCACCAGAACCACTGTGGTTCTCGCCTGTTTTTCCTGATGAAATCCAGCACTACATATGAATCTGTGTGCATGTTTTCACTTTGATGTCATGTCTGTGTTCTTTGCCCATTCATTTGCCCACACACACACCTTTTTTGTCTGCGTACTTCAGATTCTAAAACCCTTTATTGGATGTTTGGTTTGCAGAGATTTTAAGCCTGTAGTGCTGTAGTCTAGATCTGAAGTGTCCCCTCAGGCCTGCTCACTAAAGACTTAATCCCTTTGAAGTGAGCCCTCCTGAGGTCACTGGGCATGCCCTCAAAGGGGCTGTTGGGGCCTTGGCCTCTTCCTCCCTCTCCCTGATGACCGTGAGGTGAAGAGGCCTCTGCCATGTTCTCCCTCCTTAGAATGTACATGGCCCAGAGGACCAAGCAACCCCAGGCTCCTCTGCACTGCCCATCTCAGTTGTGTGCTCACAGTAACAGTATACTAACAGTGAGACTGTTTTATCTGGAACAAAGTTTTTAATTGCGGTCAAATTCATTTTACCAAACTCTCTTTTGTGCTCTCAGCATATCCAGCTGTTCTAGATCTCAGAAATTGTCTACCTTTTCCCCTAACAGTTTGAGTTCCTGTTCTACATGTAAGCTTGTGATCCATTTTAAATTAATATCTCCATAAATAAGGCTTGGTCACAGCTGTTTTGTAATTTATGAATATGAAGTGTTTGTCTGCTTGTCTGTACATCACGTACATGCTTAGTGCCTGCAGAGGCCAAAAGGCATCGGATCCTCCCTGGAACTGGAGTTAGGGTTGTGATTCACCATGTGGGTGCTGAGAACTGAACCCCGGTCCTTTGCAGGAGCAGCCAGTGCTGCTCCTCTCTGCCCAGCCCTCTCCAGCCCCCACAGCTGGTTTTTGTTATTGGTCTTTAGGGTTTTTGTTGTTTATAGGCTCAGGCTGGCCTCAAACTCATAAACTTGCTTTCTCTGGCTCCCTCCCACCCTATTCCTGTTTAGCCTAAGGAAGTCCATTTGTTGAAAAGGCATCTCTCCCTCTGTTGGGTGTATTTGTGTGTGGGGGGTACTGTTTCTGAGTTGTCCACTACATCACATTAGAGTGGATATAGCATATATAGTGATATATATATATATATATATCACTGGATCACTGAAGTTGGACCCACTTTTCCCTTTTTTCCCCCCATTAATTTTCTCTTAGGGTCCCAGGCTGGGTGTGATGATGTGCCTTTAATCCTAGCACTCAGAGGCAGGCGGTTCTTTGAGTTCAAGGCCAGCCTGGTCTACAGGATGAATTCTAAGATGGAAACCTATTTTAACAACACTCCCCAAGGGGTAGGGAGTGTCTCAGTCTGTGGGCCTAACTGACTTCACAGTCCCCCTGCCTCAGCCTACCAAGTGCTAGATTTATAACCATGTAACATCATGGTTAAATTCTTTTATTTTTCAGAATTTGGATGGGTTTTCATATATAGTCTCAGTGCATTGCCTGTGCTGTACCTTGTCTCACACTGTGTTCAATCTAAGCTGCAACACAAAGCAATCCTCCTGAGGCCTTCCAAGTGCTGGGATTGCTGGCAGGAGCTACCATGTATGGCTCAAAAATTGCTTTGGGTATACATTTTCTTACAAAGTTTAGATAATCTTGTTTACATCTTGCTTGGATTTTGGTAGGAACTGTGTTAAACCTGTATGTTGTCAACATGGAAAGAGCTGACATCTTTTTATGTTGTGCCTTCTAGTTCATGAACATAGTATGTCTATGTAAACATTTTCATTTGTAGACTTCAGCAGCTTACTTTTTTTTAAGGTTTAAACTTAAAACAGTTGTACTATGCTTTTTGTATCCATAATGTTCATTGGTATTAGGGAAAAATAGATTTTTATTTATATTGTGTCATGAGGTCTTGGACTATTAATATTAAGGTAGGTATTTATCATCCACCACCCACCTAGACTTTCTTACAATTTGCTAGTATTCGTAAATAACGGTGTCCTCAGCTAATACTTGGATCCTCCTTTCAGGGCTTCTGACCTAGTAACATTAGACATTAGGATTTTCAGAAAAGGTTTCACTGTGTAACCCTGGCTGGTCTGGAACTCAATATGTTGATCAGATTGGCCTTGAACTCAGAGATTGGCTCACCTCCTAAGTGCTGGGATTAAGTGCCCAGGACCCTCTCCTCCCCGCTCCCTGATATATGTAAAGCATGTCTTTTTTTTTTTTAAAGATTTTTTATGATTTATTTATCTTTATTTTATATGTATTGGTATGAAGGTGTCAGATCCCCTGGAACTGGATCTTCAGACAGTTGTGAGTTGCCATGTGGGTGCTGAGAATTAAACCCGGGTCCTCTGGAAGAGCAGTCAGTGCTCTTAACCACTGAGCCATTTCTCCAGCCCCAAAGCATGTCTTGCATTTGGTGACATGTCATGCTGCCTGCTGGCATGAGTGATGCACTGATCTCTGCAGTGGAGGATGACAAGGCCTTTGGTTTGGTTTTTTTGTTTGTTGTTCATTTCCCTGTCTTTATTTTATTTTTTTATTTTATTTATTATGTATACAATATTCTGTCTTGTGTGTATGCCTGCAGGCCAGAAGAGGGCACCAGACCTCATTACAGATGGTTGTGAGCCACCATGTGGTTGCTGGGAATTGAACTCAGGACCTTTGGGAGAGTAGGCAATGCTCTTAACCTCTGAGCCATCTCTCCAGCCCTTTGGTTTGGTTTTTCATGTAGCCCGATGCACTGCCTCCTCCCAGTGCCCATAAGACAACACGGCTGTGGTAGATAATCAGTTTAATGAGAAAACAATGTTCTGTATAAAAAGGTGGCTTTGTGTGTCATTTAAGTGTCCTCATTTCTGAGGAGTCGTCATATTGAGTAGTCTTGAATGTCTGTTGCCCATGGTACAGGTTGTCTAGGTGCCCACTGGCTGTCACAACAGGGCAAGGCCTGCCCATAAAAAGGTATGTGCCTTTAGGAAGGTGCACTAGTCTTTCACATAGTAACGGGCAGAGAGGCTGCCAAAATTAGACTAAAAATAACTTGCAAAAATGAATGTCAGCTCAGAGCTGTGTGAGGGAGGCAAAGCCTTCACCTTTTAGCCCTTGGTTCAACCTGTGGCCTCAGTGGAGGGCCCAGCATCAACTTTCTGGCATATTAGGGGCCAGCCCTGCCAGTAGTACAGGTCTGCACCGGTGAACTGGAAACAGCTGGAAGGGGAAGGAGCGTGTGCCTGTGTGAAGTCCTCATTACACTACCTGTTTGCAAGGGTCTGTGACTGTGTCCCACAGCAAGGTGCTCAACTCAGTGTGCAGGGCACAGAGCTTAGTCCAGGTGCTTCCTCCATTACCAGGGGGCAATAGAGCCTTAGGTAAGCTAGGGGTGCGGGCCGCCGCCCCAAAAGTTGAGTGGGCCACAAGCACTCCCCAGCACCTGGCAGACAAGCAGAGCTGCTTGAAGCCCTGAGGTGGAGCTTTCCCAGAGTACACACTAGTTCCAGTCCACCGGTCTCCAGCTTCTGGGGCAACCTGGTAGGTACTGACATCTGAGGGGCCGCGATCCTCTAGTCATGCCCCTCAGCCTGCCAGAACCACCCCCGGAGTCTGAGGACGAGAGGTGCCTAGAACTACTCCACAAGTTCTCAGGGTTGCTGCTGATAGGAGTGGAGTCCCTGGGGAAACTCCACCCATGCCTGGTACTTAGGTAGCCTGTTTCTTCTCTTGTACCCTGCAGCTGCTGGCCACATCTGAATCTCTACTGAACAGGCCAAGGCCAGTCTTCCGATCCTAGGATTGATAGACAGAGGCCTAGGCCCAGCTGTGGGTAGTGCCGGTCTGTTCACTTCCTGCTCTGGCCTTGGCCCTTGTCTGGACCCACTTCTTGCTTATGGTTCTGCTCCAGCCGTGACAGGGAACACAGTCTCCCTCACTGAAACCCAGGGAGCCTGTTCTACCTGTTGCCTCGGGCTGAAAGAAGCAAAGCCAGAGAGAATCAGGACTGGAGCAGAGAACCACTTAGAAGTGGGTGGAAAAGTGGGTGTGGAATGGTAGTAAGGAGTGACCCACGGGTCAAAGTCATCAGCATCGGGTACGGGGGTGCCCCACATGGGCCTGTAGTGCTTCCCGGATACCCCGCTGCCAGTCTCGTGCCAGCTGCACTGGTGTCAGGGAGGCCTGTGAACAAGGACACTGAGTCAGTCTTTCTCTCCAGGTACTCCCCCTGACCCCAGCACAGGTGCCTGCCTGGCACTCACCACATTCTTCATGCCCAACTTGGCTCCATAGAGCAGCAGCAGCTTTGTAGCTTTGTGGTGCCCATAGCGCACAGCCTCATGGAGTGCTGTGTCCCCTTCCTGTGGAGAGACCAGTCGGTCACTGCTGTAGGCCCGATGCTGACACAGATGGCCTCTGGCCTGCCTCGGGCTGCTCACAAACACCCACCTTATCCTGTGCATTGATGTGGGCGCCACACTCAATGAGGTGCTCCAGGCAGTCAGTGTGGCCCGTGCGCACTGCTACATGGAGAGGGGTGCTCCAGATCTAGGGAGAAGTGGGGTTCAGTGCTGGATCTGGGCTGGCCATTCCACCCAACCCAAAAGGGCTGTGCCTTCTTCCAAGGGGAACATCTGTTCCCTGTATGCTATATCTGTCCCTAACAGATTACCACCCAGAGCAGGCAGTGGTTGGTCCCTTACCTTGTCCTGTGCATTGACCTGAGCTCCCTGGTTAAGCAGCAGCTTGAGAATGTCCAGGTGTCCTCCACGGCAGGCCCAGAATACAGGCGTCCTGTCCAGCTGCACACAAAGCACCAAGGTGTTCTGACCCGTTGGGTTGCAAGGCCTAACTAGAGCCTCCACCTTCCCTGTCCCTTGTTTCTCACCAAGTCCCGTGCCTCTATAGCAGCCCCTGCCGCCAGCAGCTTGTTCACCAGCTGTCTGTGGCCCTTCAGACAGGCCCAGTGCAAGGCTGTGCGGTGGAGCTGGGAGGAGAAACAAAATTAGGCCAAGAGAGAGCTACTCCTTAGAGCCACCCACCCCCACCTCTTCTGTTCCTAGAACAGGTTGGAGTTACCCAGTGTCACAGGTGAGGACTAGAATGTACAAGATGGCACATCCAGGTGTCAGAAATGCAATCACCCACCCTCCCTACCTTGTCATGGGCGTTGGGGTCCCCTCCATCCGTCAGGTACTTGTCAATCAGGGCTTCCTGATTCTTGACAGCTGCCTTGAGGAAGGTGTCCAGGTCCACAGGCTCCAGTGGGCCCTGGGGCTGCGGCTGTGTGAGCAGAACAAGGGGGAGCTAAGTTACTTCCCTAGCCCTCAGGCACCTGGCACTTCTGCTTTACCAGTCTGGCCCAGCGCGCCTGGCCTGTTGGATTGTAGGTTTTTCAATTCTCAGGAGAAAAAGAATGGGAAATGGGTGTTGTGCACTGATTGTTCCCATACTCTGGTTCATATGCTGAATCTTAATTCCAGTATCTCAGAATATGACTTTTTTGAAAGTAATTGTCATTGCATTTGAAATTATGTTGGAGTAGGGTAGACCCCTTTCCTGTATGACTGATGTATGACATTGGATACAGGCAGGCACACAGCATGAGCAAAAGGTGAGATGGGTCGTGTGTCACAGACCAGGAGGCACTAGTGCCAGCAGGCCTGAGAAGCTAGCAGGTGAGCGGACACTGAAGAACAGCCCTGCAGACTACACACATCTAGCTCCGAACAAACTGGAATGGCTTGATTGTGTGGCTAAGTCCTCAGTGGCCAGCACTTGCTTACAACTAGCTGCCTGTGAGGCTTAATTTGGCCGTATCTAGAGTCATCTAGGAGACGAGTCCTTGGGCACATCAGTGAGAGATTATCTAGGTTAGGGTAGCTGCTGCAAACCACTCTAAATGTGGGTAGAACCTTTTGATGGGCTGGGGTCCTAGGCTGAAGAAAAGGAGAGAGCAAGCTTAAGGAAATGAGCATTGGGGCTGGAGAGGTGGCTCAGCAGTTAAGAGCACTTGTTGCTCTTGCAGAAGATTCAGGTCCAATTCCTAGCACCTACATGTTGCTTCACAGCCATCTGTACAGAGCATATGATGCTCTCCTCTGACCACCAGGCACATACACAGTGCACGTATGTACATACAGGCAAGTACTGGTACACAAAGTCAGTCTGTGTCTGTCTGTCTGTCTGTCTCTCTCTCTCTCTCTCTGTCAGCTCCCTCAAGCTCCTGCCGCCATGCTTTCCCCACAGCAGTGAGACAGTTAACTATGTACTCTGGAGCACTGAGCCAAAATAACCCTTAAGTTGCCAGGTGTTTTGTCGCAAGAAGCTAAGGCGCTAACGCATCACCCCATTGAAGGGACAGAAGGCTCCACAAGCATTCCATGCAGCTCTCCATGCACTGACTAAGTAGCTGCAGCCCGTAGATCATTCTTACCAGACCCCCAAGACAAGAGGCCATCTTTGCCTCTGGAACACCAGCCTTCCTCACTCACCTCAACCACAGGCTCAGGTTCCCTGGGGGGGACTTTGTGTCTCAGTCGCTTTTCTCTTCGTCTTTGAAGCAAGTTTTCCAAGTCTTTCATATTGTCCAGAGTCAGTCTGGAGCTGTTAAATCTTTCCAGCTAGGGCAGAAGACATGCCCAAGCCAGACATCAGTCACCAGGTAGGGTCTCAGGGCAGGCTCCTGGCTAAGACTGATCCACTCTGGCTAGCTGACAGTGGCCATGGCTCTAGGTCCTCATTGCTCATAGTTACCCACACTGTCCCACCCTCTTTCCAAGGCACTTACTTTCTTTTTCTTCTCTTCCTCCAACTTCAGTTTCTCCCGGGCCACGGCCTCTTGGGGTCCGAGCCTCCAGTCACTAGGCCAGCCTCCAGGATCGGGAACTCTATGTCCAAACTCCAACACTTTCCTATCAGCTCTTTCTCCACTTACCTGCAGGACAGGTGGAATAGATTAAGGAACGGGACCACTGGAGGGATGCTTGGGAATCAGTTGTGGGGCACAGCAGGATGGCTGAGACCTGACATACAAAGGTCAGTTTGAACCTGGGAGTTAGCCTTACTCTTCCTGTTGAACATTTCCTGGTGGGCTGCAATGCTGGTGCACACACACACACACACACCCCATCTACAGTTTTTACAGACTGTGGCAGTGGCCAAGTCCAGGGGATTTGCTGTCAGCTATCAGTAAATCACAGAGTGAAGGGAGGCTGGTGTCTGTCTATACTGGGTTCATACCTGGGAGCTCAGACAGATGGCACCTTAGCTTCCACCCTGGGCTTCTCTGCCTAGATTCCTATGCATGCCATACTGCCACCTGACCCAAGCTTAGAGAAGAGAAGCTCCTTGGCCAAATTCCAAATCCCTGCTTTCAGCCCTTGGGTCTTAGACTATGTTTCTGTCTCTGTAAAATGGGCTCAAACCATCCCGGAGAGCTGGTCACAGCTGATACCCAGCCAGACCCTTAACAGCCATCCAGGGAGCTGGAGAGGGAGGAAGGTGCAGACTGCCGGTGAGAGTGCTGCAGAGAGGAACGGAAGATCGCAGGCTTCCCTCTAACTCAGCAGCTTCAACAGTCTCCTGTCTCCTGGCTTGGCGGTCCACCTCCCAGGAGCCGGCTGGGGCCACTGCGCCACAGTGAGCTATACGTGTCGCGTGCCCTCCATGCTCTGCCACCCAAACTGACACTGCATTACTTTCTCTCACTGCTCATGGAACACGACGAATACCACCCCTAAAGTGCCAGACCCTCCAGAACGTTCCAGCCAGACGATACAGCTATATCCGTGACTTCCAGAGTAACTCACCACTTTCCAGTTCTTTTCTACCATCCAGACAAGGGCATACCTACAAACTTGGGGGTGCAAGTCTGTGACCGAGTGCTGAGCGAGTGCTAACCTCACATATATGAAGCCCCAAGATGGACCCCCAGTACCACACTCACCAAAAACAAACACAGACTCAACAACACAAGAATTTTACCATCTACTATCGCCCAGCCTCTTTCCTATTTGTCTTCCTTCTCTTGATACCCACTAACATGAGATGGGCAGGAAGGAACCACGCTGTCCCCTCAGTCAGACTTCGTTACTCTGGCCATAAAGTCTGGGTACCTGCACCTTGTGTTGAGTTACTGGTGAGGACCAGTAACCTGCCTTGTGTCCTTACCAACTGCTGAATGCTGATGAAGTCCATGGTCCCCCCCTTGCTCTCCACACGCCCAGCAAGGGAGCAGAGCGCTCAGCCCTTTTATGGGAGCGCTCTCTCTTGTGGGTGGGGAAGGACAGAGCTTGTGCCCAGGCCAGATGACTCTGGGGCTCTGTCACACTAACCAAAATACAGTCTGGGAACATGGCCCACCGAGGGCAGGAAAAGGGGCTGTTTGGAGCTGAGTCGGCAACCTCCTCAGACACCCACTACCTTGCACCTGCCACATCTACCAAAGAGTCATTTTACCACCACATGGGCTGGGATACCTGGGCCAGGCCCAGGGGAAATATTTCTTACTCTTCTGAGTTCAGAGTCCACTGGTGGGACCCAGCCTCACAATGGAGATCTGGCTCCCTGTGACATTGCCAAGACCAGCTTAGACCCTGGCACAAGGTATCCAGAGGACAACAGAAGAGGCTGACCTAATGCCTTGGGAATTCTCCTGGACCTACATGATGAAATTAGGTTTCACTGGCTAGTTTCAAGGATGCCCTTCCCTCCCAGATTTGTCCCTCAGCACATGGTGTCCTGCCCCAGCCTGTCATTAGTCCTTATAGGGCTGAAGAAGCCTTCCAGGTCCACACCAGATACTCTCTGGGCAGGAAGCATGCCCTTCAGCAGGGCAAGGGAGACCCACTCCAGGTCCCGGGCTGTAGCAATGATCATGACAGCCAGCCGCAAAGCAAACTGTCTTCAGCCAACAAAAATCAAATTCCTAATTCAGAAGCCAGAAATGCTTTTCACTCTGCTGTGCCCCAAATTCCAACTTGACATTTGCAAGGAAATCAGATAGCCAGTAAACAAGACTCCGGCATGAAAGCAACATGAACAGGGAGAACCAAATAAGCACAAGGGGAAATGTGGCTGAGGGACCAGAGACCACAGAGGGTTACAGAGCGCCTGTTGTTCATGTTGACCTCATGGATTTAAGAGAATTTAAGGAAACACAACTTCTATTTTCTTTTTTTCTTTTTTTTTTTGGTTTTTCAAGACAGGGTTTCTCTGTAGCTTTGGAGCCTGTCCTAGAACTAGCTCTTGTAGACCAGGCTGGTCTCAAACTCACACAGATCTGCCTGTCTCTGCCTCCCGAGTGTTGGGATTTAAGGCATGTGCCACCACCGCCCGGCTGAAAGGTAACTTCTCAAAGAAGCCCGGGTCTTTGTGTTCCCTTGTAAGGAGTGAAGCAGTTACTCCATGGGAAAGGAGGCCAACAAGAAAGTCCAACTAACTCTGCTCTCCACTGTCCCACGTCTGATGAAACTGGGCATGGTTGAGCATGACTGTTAGTCTAGTGTGCACACCCGCAATCCCAGCACTTGGAGGATAGAGACAGGAGGATCTCTGTGTTCAAGACCAGCCTGGTCTACAGAGTCAGTTCCAAGAGACCAGGATTATGTAGAAAGACCTTGTCTCAAACAGACAAGCAAACAAAATGCTTTGTACTGAGATGGCTGAAGCTACCTGTATGCAAACAAAAAAAAATTTTTTTTTAGGAAAATGCTAGTTTCTATTTCACAAAGGTGACTGGTATTACACCTCCAGGTTAAAAACAATCGTTACTCTTTATGTTTGAAAACAAAACTAAAGACCTATTTGATTATTCTTGCTTCTGTGGCCCAGGGAAACCACATCTTCCCAACTCTCCTTCGTGCCTGCATGGCACATGCTGAAAAGTGTCACACTGTGGGCACCACGTGGCCCTCTTGCCACACTGCCACCTCTACATTCAAGTGATGTGCCGAGCCCAACCCCTTCCTGCCGGGGAGCAGGTCAGTTGTGTCTTTTCTCTCAGTAGGTCAGGTCTTGTGCTCTCCCTTTCTTTCCCTTCTGTCTCTCTGTCTGTCTCTCTCTGTCTCTCTCTCTCTCTCTCTGTGTCTCTCTCACAAACACACAGTCTCACACTGTAGCTCAGGCTAGCCTCAAGCTTGTAATTCTGCCTAAGCTTCTGAGTCCTGGGATTATGTGTTAGCCTCCATGCTTGGCGCTCTCTTTTAAAATATACACTATATTTTAATGCATCTCTTGTTCTGTCAGTGCTGGGGAACCCAGGACCTTGGGCCCTAATGCACAGTTTGTAAATGAGTCTGTAAATAGACACCTCTGTAATCAAGAATAAATCTTCCTATGTTGCTACAAAGAAGTCAAAACTACTGGCTCTGCTCACTTAAACAGGTATTGCTAAATTGCTGTCTATGGTGTGTGCTCCAGTTTCCATGACCAGAAGTCAACAACTTAAGGCAAGTGATAGCGCAAAAGAAAATTTTAATATACATATATAAAGCATATATCATACACGTTTCTCTCTCTATATGCATATAACCAAAGCAAAGGCTCGATACTCAAAGTTCCTATGAATCAATAAAAACAAGGCAATATATGTGGTATAGATACATAACCATAATCCCAACACTCAAGACGTTGGGGCCAGAGAATGGCTCCAAGTTGAAGGAAATCTAGCCTAGACTACACAGCAAGAACAAAACCATTTCAAAGAGGAAGGTCAAGGACAGCTGTGCAGTCTCACTAGTAAGCAATGCAGACCAAACAAGCAATTATAATTACATGGTTTTTTGGAGTCAGGGTTTCTGTAGTTCTGGCTGGCCTAGAGCTCCAAGGGACCTTCGTGCCTTGGGTGCCATGACTAAGGTGTGTGCAGCCACACCTGGCACAGCTACACTCTGTACGAACCGGATTTCTAGAACTGAAACCCTGTGTCAGTCAGACTTTGGGACTGGCCACCGTTTCTCCACATTGTGTTAGGGATTGGAAGGTAGGGCTTTTGCATGTCAGGCGAGCGCTCCACCACTGAGCGATAGCCCCTCTTTTTACCTTCTGAGACAGGGTCTATGCTGCCCAGGCTGGCCTCAGCCTCCTGAGCAGTTGACAGGTCAGGCCTGCACTGCCAGGCCAGGTCCAGCAGCAAGCACTCTCCTGTGCTGCTTGTAGTGCCGTGTACCTGCGTACTCACCGGAGAGCACAGACCTCCTCAGTCCTTGAGGAACCCTGAGGTAGGCCTATTCTAGTCATTTTCATCTCACAGACAGGGAAGCTGAGGAACAGGCAGGTAAAAAGAGAAAACTGCACCAAGCTCATTTGGCTAGAAAGCAGCTGCTGTTAGACACTGTATTTTCTTCTAATACTTCAAAGTTTTACATTTTTATATTTTGGACTCTTTATCTGGAAATTTATCTTTGTCTGTGGAATGATGTCAAGATATAAGCTTTATTTCCATCCAAATGGATAGCTGTTTCTACAAGGACTAATTTATATGATCACCTGTCCAGGCTCCTAGCCGTCAGCCCTCCCAAGCCTTCCTACTGGCTCCCACACGGGCCAGACGGGGCTCTTCCGGGCAGTCTGGCCCTGGTCCCATCAGGCAGCAGGATGCTGAGCAAGGCAGGGTGTGGAGAGCTGTCTGTGTACCCTTCAAGGGCAGCCAGAGACGGGAGGCGGAGCCTCAGCTGGCCAGCAGGTCCCTCAGGCCACTGTTGCAGGGCAGCAGGTCACATGCTAGGCGTGCTTTGCGATCCCGGACAGCCTTCAGGGCTGGGCTGTGCTGTAACAGGAGGGAGCAAATGTCCTCGTGACCCTTCTCTGCAGCCTGTGGAGAGAGAAAGAGAGGCCTGAATCAAAACACGTTCCCGAGCTGGGCCCTGCACTTTCTTCCTTCCCTTTTGGGGGACCTGCTGAAGAATGTGTCCTGGAAACAGGCGCCTCCTCCAATGTCTAAGCACAGATTTGCGAGCACCTGGGGAGGTCTGGGCAGCTAGTCACCGTTAGTTCTGGTTCTGGTTCAGCTGCTCTGGAACTTTCTGTGTGGACCGGACTAGCCTTGAACTTCTGGCAGTCCTCCACCTTCCAAGTGCTGGAATTACAGCTACTGAGCAGCCATGTTTGGGCTTTTGTGCATGTCGGCAAGCAATCCACCACTGAGCCACACACAGCCCCTCTGTTTACCATTTGAGACAAGGTCTTACTAGGTTGTTCCTGTTTATGTCTTTTTTTTTTTTTTTAAGATCGTTTCACTGTGTTCACTATGTTCACTATGTATATCAGCTATATGTATTTACTGCTATCTGCCTGCCTGTGCCTCCTGAATGCTGGAATTAAAGGTCTGAGCCATCATGCCTGATCTTTCTTTTTCTTCTCTTCCTTTTTTTTTTTTGTGGCTTTTTGAGACAGTGTCTCACTGTGTTGCTCAAGCTAGCCTCAAACTCACGAATTCTCCTGCCCTGGCCTCCTGTGGTGCTTTTCCACCCACCTCACCCCTGCCCCCCAGCTTAGCCTGAATTTTTGTATATATGTATCCTTTGCCCAGTAATCATTCTGGTCTTTATTTAGCTGCCCCACACTTGCCCATAACCCCAGCACTGAAGTGAGTGCAGACAAGAGGCTCTCTGGGGCTTGCTGGCTTCCAGCCTAGCTGAGAAAACTTGAGCCCCGTGTTCAGGAAGAGACGCCTATCTCAAAGGAAAAGGCAGGGGCTGACTGAGCAGAACACCCAGTGCTGACTTCTGGTCCCTGTACAGGCACAGGCACGTGCCTCTGCACGCGGATGTGTGCGTACACTCACAGACACATGTATACAAAGAAATCGTGTTTTAAATTATGTGTATGTGGAGAGGGTATATGTAGATGTGTACAGATGTCTGTGAAGTCAAAAGAGGGCAGCGGATTTCCTAGCTGGAGTTACAGGCTGTTGTGAGCTGGGAACTGAACTTAAATCCTCAGCAAGAACAGTATACACTCCTGGGCTGGAGAGGCTCAGAGGTTAAGCCCACTGGCTGCTCTTCCAGAGGTCCTGAGTTCAATTCCTAGCAACCACATGGTGGCTCACAGCCATGTATATTGAGATCTAGTGCCCTCTTCTGGCATGCAGGCAGAACACTGTATATATAATAAATAAATATATTTTTAAAAATTTTTTAGTTTTTTTGAGACAGGATTTCCCTGTAGCTTTGGAGCCTGTCCTGGAACTCGCTCTTGTAGACAAGGCTGGCCTTTAACTCACAGAGATCCACCTGCCTCTGCTTCCCTAGTGCTGGGATTAAAAAAAAAAAAAAAGAATAGTACACATTCTTAACCACTGAGTCACTTCTCCACAAATTAGTAAATCAAGTTTTTTTGTCTAAAGGCAGGGTTTCTCTTTGTAACAGCCCGCACTGTCCTGTAACTTGCCCTGTAGACCATGCTGGCCCCAAACTCAGAGACCCTGCCTCCTGAGTGCTGGGATGAAAGGCGTGCACCGCTATTAGGAAGTATTTTTTTTAAAAAAAAGGCTCGAGCTTCTACACCTGTCAAGGATTTAACAAAACCCAACCTGCAGCTGTTCACTCTGCACCTGTGATGTGTCCAAAGGCTGCCCGCTCCACAGAAGCCAGCCCCAGCCGCTGCCTCTGGTGAGCCAGACCTAAAAGACAATCTCGAGCTGAACAGGTGTCTTAATAAGGTTTCTAGTGCTACGATAAAACTCCATGACCAAATGTGACTTGGGGAGGAAAGGCTTTATTCCGGTGCTGGTTGTTGCTCATCAGGAAGGGAAGTTGGGGCAGGGACCTGGAGGCAGGCACTGAAGCAGAAGCCATGGAGGGGTGCTGCTTACTGACTCCCTCCTCATGGCTTGCTCAGCCTGCTTGCTTCTTCTGCTCCGCCTCCCTCTCCTACCTCTCCTCCCTCTCCTTCTTTGAAGCAAGGTTTCTTTGTGTAACCCTGACTATCCTGGAACTCACTCTATAGACCAGGCTGGCCTCAAACTCAGAGACCCACCTGCTTCTGCCTCCCAAGTGCTTGATTTAAATGCATGCACTTCCATGCGTGGCTTTTATAAAGATTTCTTTTCTTTTTATGTGTGTGTGTGTGTGTGTGTGTGTGTGTGTGTGTATTTTGCTTGCAGCTAGAGAGTCAGATTCAC